GTTTGTACGTTACTCGTAAATATTTTTCACTCTGTTAGGAACATCTGACTGGGAACCATGTTTCAACGCTTGCACGGCTTTCCAGAAGAGAATGTTCTCGTAGCTGTATTCTTTTCTCAGGTACTCTTCGAACTCTACAACTCCGGTGGGATCCGCTAAAAGCTCTTCCAGTGAAATCGCCCACCGCCTAACTCGTTTCTCTGTTGGCGTTTTAACTCTGAAATAATCGAAAATTGTTCTTGAACGTTTTGGAATTCATTAGATTTTATTAAAACTTAAGTAGTAGTAAGAAATTAGGGCTGACGGGTTTTATAAATACAATGAAACTTAATTTTATTAATCAAAATATCTTTTTCTCACTATGCAGCTCCAGTCTTTTTCTCACTATGCAGCTCCAGTTAAGGTAATCTGTAGTACAATTTCTCTGTACTTTCGTTCCCTGATGAATCACCCCCAAGGTTTTGGACTTACTATGCTCAAATCTGGGGTTCGATTCCACGCAAAGCCCTTTCTGAAGCTTTGTATTAAATAAACACAAACTGTACTCCCAATGAAATGGTACTTGGTTCACAAGTTCGTGTCTTTGAGGACGGGTTAGTGAGCCAGGGTTAGCTTCCCGGCTGTGGACAGAGGACGGGTTAGTGAGCATATAAACTACGCAATGGAGCCTGGTGTGGCCTAGGGCTTGCTTAACATTTCCTTATCACTGTTATTAATTGTAAACAGAAGAATTCAGGGTTTGCGACCCGTTGTCGTAAAAACGCGCTTTGTGCTTTGGAACTTTGAGCGTTCTATAAGAGTGCGGGATAGTGAAATCCCACTATTTTACAAGACAATAGCAGCCCGTGAGTTGGCATTAGTTGTTGCTGACTAGCTGCCTTTCCTTTAGTCTATAATTTCAAAAGTTAGGGACAACAAAGGACAAATAGCTCTGACTAGCTGCCTTTCCTTTAGTCTATAATTTCCAAAGTTAGGAACAACAAAGCACAAATAGCTCTGACTAGCTGCCTTTCCTTTAGTCTATAATTTCAAAAGTTAGGGACAACAAAGCACAAATAGCTCTGACTAGCTGCCTTTCCTTTAGTATATAATTTCCAAAGTTAGGAACAACAAAGGACAAATAGCTCTGATTAGCTGCCTTTCCTTTAGTATATAATTTCAAAAGTTAGGGACAACAATGCACAGATAGCTCTGACTAGCTGCCTTTTCTTTAGGCTATAATTTCCAAAGTTAGGGACAGCAATGCACAGATAGCCCTAACTAGCTGCCTTTCCTTTAGTCTATAATTTCCAAAGTTAGAGACAACAATGCACAGATAACCCTGACTAGCTGCCTTTCCTTTAGTATATAATTTCCAAAGTTAGGGACAACAAAGCAAGATAGCCCTGACTAGCTGCCTTTCCTTTAGTTTATAATTTCCAAAGTTAGAGACAACAATGCACAGATAACCCTGACTAGCTGCCTTTCCTTTAGTATATAATTTCAAAATTAGGGACAGCAAAGGACAAATAGCCCTGACTAGCTGCCTTTCCTTTAGTATATAATTTCAAAATTTAGGGACAACAATGCACAGATAGCTCTGACTAGCTGTCTTTCCTTTAGTCTATAATTTCCAAAGTTAGGGACAACAATGCACAGATAGCCCTGACTAGCTGTCTTTCCTTTAGTCTATAATTTCCAAAGTTAGGGACAACAATGCAGAGATAGCCCTGACTAGCTGCCTTTCCTTTAGTCCATAATTTCCAAAGATAGGGACAACAATGCACAGATAGCCCTGACTAGCTGCCTTTCCTTTAGTCCATAATTTCCAAAGTTAGGGACAACAATGCACAGATAGCCCTAACTAGCTGCCTTTCCTTTAGTCTATAATTTCCAAAGTTAGGGACAACAATGCACAGATAGCCCTCGTGTAGTTTTGCACGAAAATTCTGAACGGTTCGAGTATTGTGAACTTTTCTAAGATATTTGAGGCACTTTTTTAAAAAAAAAATTAGTAGACAAGTAAACTTGCCAAGCAGAGAAGTAGTGATCGGGCTGAAAAACCAATGCTGGAAAATATGTAACAAAATTAAAAAAAAACATTATAATTTACTAATGTGTCACCATCGACAGGCTACCACTGATCAGGTCAAAATGATTTATCAGCTACTGTAGTGACACATTTCCGTATTACTCTTTATCTTAAAGATTCAGAAATACATACAAGCAAAACATACAATATTAGTTAGCTAATATTAGGTTTAGCTTAACTCATTCCAGACTTACGTGCTGTAGTTCATAAATATGCTACGTGTTATCAGATTAGCTATATTATATTAGGGTTAACTCATTCCAGACTTACGTGCTGTAGTTCATAAATATGCTACGTGTTATCAGATTAGCTATATTATATTAGGGTTAACTCATTCCAGACTTACGTGCTGTAGTTCATAAAGACGCCACGTGTTTCAGATTAGCTATATTATATTAGGGTTAACTCATTCCAAATTTAAATGCTCTCGTTTATATGGCGAGGCACATTACATATTAATTAGCCTGTATTAGGTTGAATTCAGGCCAGACTAATATATTTTCGTTCATAACAATGATACATTTTTCATCTTAGCTAGCTTACATTAGGCTTAACTCATGTCAGACTTGTATGCTATTGTTAGTAAGTTTTACATATGTTTTATTCCATTCGACAGAAATTTTCTTGGTCTATTGAATTAGGTTCCTCTTACAGGTCATTGTTCAGATGCCAGAGCGTGACGTCGTCAGATATCCACGGGTTTGATGGCTGAGCACTCGATATAAATGGATCAAAATCGGCATAATCCTTACACCGTTGGATTAAACTGCAGAGAGAGAATCCATGGTATAATCACCAGCAGGTATTTTAATACATTTTAAATACAATAAGTACAATAATTTCTCGTTATTTTCTCACGATGAAGGGCGAGAAATATTTTCCATCTGACATGGTGTCGTTTTTAAGATTGGGTATATTTACTTGGGGTAAGGCTAATTTAGGATTAGAAATAACTAAGTCAATTTTGTATACATAAAAACACACTTCTTGAATGAAACTTAACGAAATGTACATATAGTTTAAGCTGAAGTAACGAAAAGATTTTTAAACTCCTGAAGTACTTCACTGTAAAATTTACTGTCTTTGTGTAACCAATACGTTTTTAAAAGAGTCATATTTTTGAGACTAAGAGTACTTGTATGACGAACTGTAGGCAAATAATTATTTAGTCAAAGCTACATAATATTATAAAGATTTGTTGATCATATAATTAACGGTTCTGGTTGTCACTAAATATCTCCAGAATGTTTATTTTAGAAAAACTAAAAATTTTCACTTTTCTTTCTATCTTGCTTTACTTTCTTAATACTGGAACACAGCTTAATTTTCAGTTAATAATATTACAAATGTATATTAAAACAAAGACAACAATATACAACATATATATATATATATTATAACAAAGACAACAATATACAACATATATATATTAAAACAAAGACAACAATATACAACATATATATATATATTATAACAAAGACAACAATATACAACATATATATGTTAAAACAAAGACAACAATATA